GCACATGTTGCTTTCAATTCTATATACAAGTACACATATAAACTTTAATGTGCATTAAAAAAATTACATATGAAATCACACAGACCCAAAAGCTACTTTTCCCTGGATTTTTCTTTGGATATCATGATGCCTAAACTAGAATGTGAAAACCTAGCAGATTTGTTTCCAAATCTGAAATTTCTGAAGTATTGCCTAATTACTGTATATTTTCACTGATATGTTAAAAAGGTCAGACACAGAACAAACTAGTCAGTTTAAAAAGAGGCAAAACTCAAGCAATTAACATGCAAAGGAATAGAGAAGTTTAATTAGTTTTCAAAAATAAGAATCTAATGAAGAAGAAACTATTGATAGTATTGAATGGATAACTTTTCACGGGGTAAAAACATGTATATTAATATTTGGGTGTTGCTCCATATTTTCTATTTGAGACAGTGGATGATTTTGTATTCTTTTACATTATTTTTGTTACCTTGTTTTCAGCATTAGTAGTAGTAGGCAGGCAAACAATAAACAGATATAAATGAAGAGAAACTACATCCTTTATAATTCAGCAGTTTTTCATCCCACTTTAAAACTTTAAAAACATATTAAAGAAAATTTAATCAACATATTCAATGTTGTCTAAATAAATTACTTTTCCATTTTATATAAATATACTTTCATAAGCAAACCATGTTACACATACAGATATTCCTTGATTTACAACCGTTTAACTACAGTTGTAAATTCAAAGTTACAAAGCTCAGAAAGTGACTTATGACCCTTCCTCAAAATTACGACCGTCACACGACACACACATATACTCCAGTCATGTGACTGACTGCAATTTGGGTATTTGACAATTGACTCACATATACAACAGTCATATGATCATGGTGTGCAACTTTCCCAGCCAGCTTCCGACAAGCAAAGTCAATTGATAAAATGTAAAATGGTCATAAAGTCAGGTCCGGTGACATGATAATTCAATGGCCACATCCTGAGCAATTGAAATGCTGGCCCCAATTGTAGTCATAAATCAAGGACTACCTGTAACAAAATTTCTGATGTAATAAAAGTGACTATACATTGGAAAAATTATATACTTCCCTCCCCCTTAATAGCCTGGAAATTTCCTAGCTTGAGCAAAATCCTACCTTTAGCAAAGTCCTCTCTTTAGCAAGTACTCTACCACTAAGCCTCTTTGGGCTAGGGCAATGTAGGCATCATCATCATCACACTGTTTTGATGCACAAAAGCCCTGCTGGTGGATTAGATCCAATGTACAGTCATTATTACTGACCTTGGAAAAATAGCCTATTAGGTGGCATCCTGTGTTATCAGCTTCTGTCATGACATAGAAAAGAAATGGTTCGACATCATAATACAAAGTCTTATGGTCCAAGAAGAGCTTTGCCAGGAGGCACAAGTTTTGGCAATATATCTGGAAAAAATCAGAAAGAGAATCAAGATATTAATACAAGACTGATTAGCAGGAGGCGATCTACCCTCCCAGTACTTATCACAAGGTAGTCCATAAAAAATGAACCAAAAAAAATCTATGGATAACCAATAGGTAGAACTTTCTTAGTGTTTCAAAGATTGTTGCAGACCAAACAATAGTAAGTCAAAATCAATCCACCCACCCCACAAAAAATTGGTTACTACTTAGTGAGCAGCAGCTTCGAATATCTATTGTCCCAGGATTGTGTTGTTCACAGTAGAGAAGCTGCACAGCCTTGAAAAAAGATGTGATTTAAGGATTTGCTTAGGTGTTATTTGAGTGTCCCCAAAGGCACAGAAGTTACTTTTTGGCTTTGAAACAATAAACAAAAACATGAACCTATATCTGCAATGAATTGGTACAATCCAGGACTGACATCATCTTCTCTGCATATCTAATTCTGCTCCAAGCCTTTATAAGCAGCAATATGGAGTGACTACGGAGATTCTTAGTCATTGGGGTCCTGGTTGTCCCAAAAGTGCTTTTTCAAAAGGCAACTGGGTTTTCTTGTTTTTTGTTCTCATCCGAGAAGCTTCTTCATCTCTGACTGGATGGTAGGGAATCGAAGAATTTATATTCCTTACAGACAACTGGTCATTTGGAAGAAGGATCAAAGAGGCCATCTATGTCAAAACTGAACAGCCCTCTCTCAACAGAGGGGGATGGATACAACATCATCCATCTCCAGTCTATAACACAGCTGTCTGTGAAGAATATAATCTTCCATTCCCCACCATCCAGTCAGAGCTGAAGAATCTTCTTGGTTGAGAAACAAAATGACTTCAAAGAAAAACAACTAGGCCCAGTTACTTCTTGAAAAAGCACTTTTGGGATCAGCATGAAGTGAGATGTTTCAGGGTGATTAGCAACAATGAAAAATTTCTAGCAAAACCACCTGTATGATTTACAAATGGATTACATATACAAGCTCTCTTCCTTCCCGAAAGCCACTCCATTAACACAGTTACCTTGTTCTTTTTCCCATCTACTTCAAATACTGAGATTGGGCCTTTGCGGTAGATTTCATCTCCTGGAGGATGCTTCCAGACACATTTTGCCTATGAAGAGTGATAAACAAGCATTACTGTCATAATTGGTTTTCAAATATACCACTGAACAGGAAAGATAATTGCTTCGGATTCAGAAGCAGTCATATTCTATTCAGAAAACAAAATGAACCTGATGTTTGGTATAGGCTATTTGGTATAGGCTATTGACCAATGAACTCTGATTAAGAATAGGTAAACTGTTTAAAGGTATTTTATCATATGAAACTAATTAAAAGAAAGCATGCATAGCTACAACTATGTAAACAATATTACATTACATGTAATAAATATAAAAGGTATATTTACATTACATATCTCTAATAATAATAGTAAATTGTAAATTTCAATTTTTCACTAGACAATAATCCAGCCTTTTTTAGGTTCTGTTCATTCTACAGAAGGCTTTTAATTTATATTACATGGGCCTTGTGAAAAATGTTTCCTCCCTTCCTTTTAATCAGACGAAACATGTCTGCTAAAAAATTTCCACCACAATAAAACTCATTTTAATATGAGCAGATCATTGTAACAGTGTGTATTACATATATTTATGTATTTATTTGTTTGTTATTTGTTTATTTATTTATTTATAGGCAAATAATACTCTCTGTGCTCCACAAGAAATAAATTATATGAATTACTATGCCTGGCTCAGAATAGGCAGAATTAGATAAAGGAAATTACAGAGATCTATAATATTTGGATTGTAATAATTGATCTTGAAAGACCAAGTTATAGACAGATTGTCATGAAGAAAATCTATATGTCAACACCAACTTCATTACACATAATCAATCAATGACTGCACCTGTCTTTAAGGTGATGGTAAACAGCCTATAAGCTTATATAACTCAACAAGTGATTTGGCCTCCTCCTCCTTTGTCATAAACATTACACATTCTATCCCAGCTATGATTGACAGCCAAAGCAACCATTGCCATCTATATTGGAAGTCGAATGTGAAGCTGTTTGGAAAAAGGCGTTGTTTGCTAAAGCAATAAGGTGGTCACAATTAAGCACTGGAAAAAAAGAGGTCGAAGGCCCAAACTAGATTCTCTGCTGCTGGAGATGATTATTCAAGATGGGGTCATGGCAGCATTCTTCAGAACCGATTTCTCTGCAGCATTTCCCATTTTTTCTCAGAAAATTGACAGGGAAATACAAACTGCATTTTTACAAGATTAAATTTCCAAAGCAGTAGAAGGCAATAGCATATTCCTTACCATATGCAAAATTATGTTTAGATAGAAAAAACATAGATTTAGAAGAAATATATAATAAACCATGATTAAAATAACACCTTCCTGAAATTAGAGCATATCAGCAGAGCAAATAGTAGCTGTAAATGCAAGAGGAACTAGGGTTAAAGCTACCAGATTTGGGCTGCAAAAAACAGGCTCATCAGTGAGCAGAATTGCTATTGTTTGTTTTAAACTCAATTTTTTTTAATGTACATTAATATACATATTTACATTACACATTAATACCAATAAAACAATGCAAAAAGTATTAATGGTTTTAAAAACTGCATTGCTTTTTACATTGTCTTAATCTGGGCTATCCATGTGCTTTTCTGTTTTCCCTTATTTTAGATTTTTTAATTTTAATTTTGTATACTGTAATTTTGTATACTGTCCAGACTATATTGGCTGCATATAACAAATTTGAATAAAGAAACTATTTTCCATTGTATATCCTTAAGTTAAAAACTTACCATGTGTCTGCGAAGTATTGTCTGACTCTTCATATATTTGAGGCAGAATTCACACATATAGAGTCGCCCAAGCCGGGCATACTCCTCTGGATAGGGAGAATGGTACCACGTGTCCAGTTCATAGCGGCCAAAAGCAATGCAGTTTTTAAAACCATTAATACTTTTTGCATTGTTTTGTTGGTATTAATGTGTAATGTAAATATGTATATTAATGTACATTAA